ATGGACGAGACAGTGTTGAGTTTAGTTGATCAAGAAGCAGACAACCACTCATAGATTGACTTTTTGGGGGGCCAACGTCTCGTTGACTATGGAAGATCAGATCACCGCTCCTCTAGTTCTCTGATTTGAAGTCATTGCGCCGCAAATGTATCTGATGCACCGCCAATTATACAATAGACTAAAATTATTACTCATAATTATGTGTTACTTTTTTAACTTTTTTTTTCAAAAGAAAAGTTTATTCTAGTAGTGTCGTGTGAGTGTGATGATACATAGATATTAGTATTTTAGTCTGTATTGAGTAACATGTTCCTTTTTGCATGAGATCAGGATAACATGTTCCATTTTGTAATTTATTTGGTAAATATCATCAGAAACATGTTAACTTTCTTTGTTCGTTTGTTAAGTTACACTGGTAACATGTTAATTTTCACAGTTCGCTTGCTAACTATAATACGTAGCATGTTAACTTTAATTGGTAAATTGATAATTATATTCAGTAAACTGTTAATTATAATTCATTATCCGTTAACTGTTATTTGTAATCCATTATCCGTTAACTTGTATTTCGGGTCATATACACGTTAATATAGTTCTCATTTAACATGTTAACTATAATACATAGCATGTTAACATAATCCGTTAACACATTTAAATAGAACTATAATACGTAAATTGATAACTATAATACGTAGCATCTAACACGTTGTTGTTAAAACTTGTTTCTCAGCCACGCCGTTGTTAAAACCATCTGGATCACTTAACATAGGTGTGATTGTTGTTAAAACCACCTGGATCACTTAACATAAGTGTGAATATGTGCTAATTCTTCTTCTTCACAAGAGTTAACATGTTATCCACAAGAGTTAACATGTTTACCACAAGAGTTAACATGTTAGCAACAAGAGTTAACATGTTATCCACAAGATTTAACATGTTATCCACAATAGTTAACATGTTAGCCATAAGAGTTAACAAATTAGCCACAAGAGTTAACATGTTATCCACAAGAATTAACATGTTAGCCACAAGAGTTAACATGTTATCTACAAGAGTTAACATGTTAGCCATGGATTGAGCTCGATGATTTTAACATGTTATCTACAAGAGTTAACATGTTAGCCATGGATTGAGCTCGATGATTTTAACATGTTATCTACAAGAGTTAACATGTTATCCACAAGAGTTAACATGTTATCCACAATAGTTAACATGTTAGGCCAAAAAATTAACAAATTAGCCACAAGAGTTAACATGTTATCCACAAGAATTAACATGTTAGCCACAAGAGTTAACATGTTATCTACAAGAGTTAACATGTTAGTCATGGATTGAGCTCGATGATTTTAACATGTTATCTACAAGAGTTAACATGTTTAGTAATTTAATGTCAACTCTCTTTAATGATAACTGTGAATCTCTATTAGTTGCTTATTATGTTTGCGTGTTTAGATGTTAGCTTTCATGTTTTAGATTTTAACCCTCCGTAACTTATTGCTTGCTATGTCATCGTTAGTGATAACAGCACAATTACATACCCGAAACTACTGTATTTGCTCCGCGGGGGAAGACTCGATGACAAAGTAGTAGAGGTCATCTTAGATAGATTACAGCAATGGTTGTAGTTGCAGGAGAACGTTGCCTTAAACAATCAGTATGAGATTGTATTTATATATTTCTGCGTAAGATCAATCCTCATATAATTAGTTAACATCTAAGCTCTTATAGTTAACATGTTAACCACAATAGTTAACATGTTAAAATAACCGTTAGTCACAACAATGAACATGTTAGCCACAAAAGTTAACATGTTATCCACAAGAGTTAACATATAGCCACAAGAGTTAACATGTTATCCACAAGAGTTGACATGTTATCCACAAAAATCAACATGTTATCCATAAGAGTTAACATGTTATCCATAAGAGTTAACATGTTAGCCATAACAGTTAACATGTTAAACACAAGAGTTAACATGCTAACTACAACAGTTAACATGATAAATATTATGGTTAAAATATTAACTATATGAATTTGAACCATGTTCACATGTTAAAGACCGCTCTTTCTTAATATCTTAATTTTGTATAACAGCATTCACTCTATTCCTAATTGTTCGCCATGATATAGTTGACCACTTTACTGTAAAGAAGCAACAAAATCGTTTGTGAAACAATCAACAGATTTGGTGGTAATATCCCAATCTCATCTTTTGGTACACTATGATTCTCAATTATATTTAGGGATTAGGTAAATGTTAACAGTCAGTCAACTATAGTTTACATATATTAGGTAAAACATAACAGTTAATCTACAAAACTTAGTACTTAAAAGAATAAAGATAACAATTACTCAATTATACTTATATAGAACAACTAAACATTAACAATTAATCGGCTATAGTTCACATGTAATAGGTAAAACTTAACAGCTAATTAACAAAACTTAACATTTAAAAGAAAAAAATTAACATTTACTCCACTATACTTAACATGGAACAAATAAACGTTAACAGTTAATTTTTTTATAGTTTACATTACTAACACTGTAAAAATTGAACTAACATGATACACCACTATAAAAATTGAACTAACATAAATTCACTTTATTCTTAAATACTTCCGTTCAAATCATAAAGCAATGGCATAAAACCAAACCTACATTCTCCACAATCAAGCTCTCCTCCACCCTAGCCTTCTTCTCCTCCACCTTCTGAGACCTCGTCATCTCGCAAGCAACACAAACTCCTCATAACTCCTCATAACTGAGCTCACCATCAGATCCATGAAATAGCTAAACTCAGTATCATGTACAATCTCCTCATAACTCTCAAAGAAAGAAACCAAAATCTCTATTTTCTTTGTTTACCCACTAAAGCTCACAAATTGCTAAAACCCACCAAAAATAAATCACCAAGGGGGGGATCAGACCCAATCTCTGCTCTTCTTTTATTTGTACACTATAAGCTCACAAATTGTTATAACCCACCGAAAAAAACATCACCAAAAAGAGTAAACCAGCTCCAATCTCTGTTTTCTACATGTTTTTTTTCACTTATAGCTCACAACTTGCTAAAAACGTCCATCAAAAATCAACACAAAATGAGAGAAAAAAAGGATAGAAAGCAACTCAAAAGGATGCACACATGCAGATAGGATAAATTTGAACCCAAAAGACTTCAGCTTTTCAAAAAACAAGAAGGGGCCTTATTCCCCCCCACCACCACCTCCGACCACCCCACCACCGATCCTACCACCACCAAACTCGGCCAATCCCAGCGATTCCAGCGACCCCATCCTATCCCTAGATTTCTCCAGATCTAGCGATTCCAACGAAAGAAGAAGAGGCGGCGCGATGGTGGCGGTGGGGTCTACGACTGAGAATGAAGTCGTAGAGGTCGAGGGGAGGCGGAGGTGGAGGAGGTGGCGGCGGTGTTGGAGGTTCCCAGCGAGGTTGGAGAGAGAGGGTGGAAGAGGAGATGGGTTTGTTGGAAGAGAAGAAGAGATCTGGAGAAGGAGAGGGGTAATTTGGGGATATATTCTCTTGGGAATTGTAATTGGGGCTAAATCACACAGAGTTCTCATTTTTGGGGCTAATACACATGAAAAATAATACAGGGGGCTGGGCCACATTGTATTTTCATTTTTGGGGCCTTGAAGCAATTTTTCCTTCATTTAAATAACAAAATTCTTAGTAGTTCTCGGTTTGTTTTATGGATTATGAATAGTACTAGATTTTATTTATTACTTCTATAGGCGTGAATGTGGCTACGAGAGAGGGGTTCGCTTTCTACAGTTACTTCGCCGGCCAAGTCATGTGCCCTTCATTTGTGATTTTGGGACCAGGACGTGACAAGGTTACCGCAAATAGGTCTCATTTTGATAATATGAATAGTCTAATTCACCTTGATGGAAGAAACAAACTAGCATACTATGATGGCATTTACAATGACCTTGTTATTGAGAAGTAAAACATTTCAAGACTGCAAGGCTTAAGTTTTGATATTATGTACCTACACCATCTGTCAAGAAAATGTTGACGAGCATTTTAAGCACAAGATTACATAGTAACAGTGAAATGTTACAACCTGTAAACAAATAGTAGACCTATACACAATCAGTCATGTAGATAAAGTGTTCAAACTCAAAAGATTGGTGCCCAATCTGAATTAGGTTATCAAGCTTAATTCCAACCTTAACTTCAACATATCTTAGTCTCTACCATGAAAAGAAATCAAAATCAACACATGATGCAACATCTCCATGGGATATCCCCTCACAACACCCCCAATTCTAAAATACCAGCAATTAAAATAGTCATCAATCATTGGAATTATGTCCCCAAAAAACTAAAAGTAACGCCAGACTCGATTAAACATACTTGCCAGAATTACCAATCCATAACCTCAAATAACCCACCAAAAAAAAGAGAAAAATAAATTTCAAACTGTAAACTAGAAACCTGTGAGTATAAGCACAGAGGAAGAAGCTTAAAACTCTTGTTGTATTTCACGATCATGCTAAGTATTAGTTATTTGATTAAATACAACAACAATAACAACAACAAAGCATTTATCTCAAATGTTTGGGGTTAGGTACACAAATCCTATTCTTCCATTCCTATATATTATGGGCCACCTCCTCCATTAAGTTAGTCATTATAATATCCTTCTTAATTGCTCTCAACCAAGTTCCTTTAGGTCTACTCTAGATCTTTTTTTTCCCCACTAACTATAATATTATCACTTTTCCTAACAGATGCACTAAGAGAAAAGTGATAATATTATAGTTAATACGCTTTATTTAATCAATAAAGCATATTATCATCACAATCATATGCCAGTATATTATTCACATATTCGAAGTTGCACTCCTGGAAATCACATGGGTAAACAAAATCAACAGCCATGAAAGCACGTTAACAACCAAGTTACTATCCTAAGTTTCAGGTTCCTTCGAAATTTCTACTTAAATGATCAAGATTCAAAGTTCAAAGCATACCCCAAGCAACGGTACACTCCTCGCTCGTTGCACTAGCCTGATTCGCCTGGCACTCAATGCCTGCCCATGTTCACAGAGAAATGCATCAGAAACTAACAAAACCCTAATCCTGACAAGACAAAACTGAACAAAAATCAAAAACAGATTGACAACGAACGAACTCACAGAGATCCATGATGTGGTTCCTACAGATCGCGCAGTTGTCTACCACAATATCTGCACCGAAACTCTAATCAGTAACCAAATCCGAAACCCTAACCCTAATTCAAGAGGGGTAATTAAATCAATCTAGGGTTTCAAAAGAGATCGCCGTCTTCTTACCCCAGGCCCAGAGAGCGACGGCGTTCCACTTCTTGATCTCGAACCGCTTCGGCTTCTTCGTCGAGGACGACGGGCCCGCGACGGCGGCCGAGCTCGAGCCCTCGCCCGAGGGAACCATGTTGATGTCCGTCTCCAGAGACGCCATCAGCAATCGATCGACGGAGAGAAGATCGAAGATACTGGAACTGATCGAGATAGAAGGAGATCGCGATAGGAGCCCAAAAGAACAAAAAAGTTGCCAAGGGTTTTATAGATAGACGAGCGATATTTATCGTGGAGGATCGGCAGATTGTTTCGGCCCGTGTCGGGCTCGGACCGGGATTATATCGCTACAGGTAAACTACGTGCGGGTGTATGTATGTCAGATTTTATGCGTGTTCATGAAAACTTAAATAAATGTTACGAGGTTAAATTTAGGGGTGTCCAAAAAGTCCGCCGGCTAGTGCAACGAAAATAATAAAATAATCATCATTAATCATTTTAACTATCATCTCAGTACATTATGATAAAGAGATAGAGAAAACAAAAATAATAAAATAATCCACATCATATTTTAATAAAAAAAAAGAAATAGAGAAGGGTATTATGGTCTTCACATATTTTAATCACTTGGTTTTTGTGTTTTGGGGGCTCAGAGAACAGAATCTTTATTTTTGGGGGTAAAACACACGTTGACAAAGTCTTGGGGGTGGGAAGCACGTTTTCTTGGCTTTTGAGGGCTGGAAGCATTTTTCCCTAAGGGGCTGTTTGTTTGCCTAAAAAGAGAGGGAAATCAAAGAGAAGGAAACCTATTTCTAAGAAAAATAGGTTTTGGGATTGTTTGGTTGGCTAAAAAAAAGAAAATTAAAGAAATGGATATGAGATGGGATGAGTTGTCACCTTATTATAGGATGATGTGAGTGATTTTTTAAGAAAACTTGTTTTGATGTTGTTTGGTTGGCGGAAAAAATAAGAAAATGAATTATAAGAAACATATTTCTTGTAATAGGTTGTTTTCTTTTGTTTGGTTATTTCTTAAAAATAAGAAAATAGGTGAGATGAGATGAGTTGTCATTATATTATTGGATGATGTGACCCACACTTAAGGAAATTATTTTCCTAGCTTTTTGGGAGGAAAACAAAGAAATGAAATGTTAATGAGATGAGATGAGTTATCACAATCTTATTGGATGATGTGAGTGATTTTTAAATATGAGATGAGATGAGTTGAGTGATGTTGTGGATGAAAATAATATTTTATTAGATGTGGTGGATGTGATGGATGAGTTGTTGGATGAAAATAATATTTTATTAGATGTGGTGGATGGGTTGTTGGATAAAAATAATATTTTATTAGATGTTGTGGGTGCGTTTTAGGAATGAAAATGTGTGAAATTGTACTTTTTGAGATTTCTTGGTTTTCATTTCTATTTTTTGGTTTTTTAGGAAATAACCAAACAGTCCCTTAATATAAAGAAGAAATACTTTACAGAGATGTCGAATCGCTCTCTAAATAGAGGACTGGCCTTGAAGAAATTATGTCTACCTACAGTAGTGCTGGATATACACAATACTTTTGAGGATGAGACGATTGTAGTCTGAAGAAGCACTCTCTTCTATTGAACATCTCGACTACCATTCACTTCGTCAAAATCTCCAAAACTAGCACTAAAGAACAAATTTTGATTTTCGGTGCCTTTTAAATGCTTATAGGAGGCCGTTTATATAGGGTCTTATGAGCTGAGGGGCCAGAGAGGGCTTTGAATGACAGTGTTGGCTAGTGTTAGCAATGTTTATATGTCTACATTTACTGTCATTCAAACTTTGTAAAGTTCGTAACGTACAAAACACTCAAGCCAAAAAAAATGCATCACATGCAAAAGGAGCTCATGCTAGCACACGCGTTAGACCACGTGTCGGACCATGCGCCAGCCTACGCATCGGACCCACTCACTAGAGTTTGTACACTTGCGCCTGCTTGCATGCTCGCTAACATGCCAATACGAGTGTGCATTTTAACATTTTTGTTATACTATATATAACAGTTATGTTAATTTAATCAACTTAAAATACATTCAATTAGTCAATGTGAAACTAATACTCACATAATACTGATTAAACATGTACTACTAATTAAACACTTTTTCAATTAGTTAATGTAGGACTAATACTCACATACTACTAATTAAACATGTTTTTACCTATAAAATTGAATCATATAATCGGTATCCTTCTAAATAATATTTTTCACATAAGATCTCCAATATTCCATTTATATCAACAATCCCTCATTGTTTCATAGCTGAAAATAAAGAAGAATAAACATACCATGCTTTCAGAGAGGGTATTTTCCAATTTGAACATTCTATATAGTTATCCAATTTTATCAGAAGAGGTACGAAGTGAAACTAAATCTTGAACTTGAACCTTTGATGTGGTGATGTTTATTGGTAACAACATGATATCGAGTATATATCAATTATTAGATTTGACGCATTATAGCCATACATCTTTATACTTTTCATGAATATTTTCAAGAAATAACTCACGTCCTTTAATTGCAGCTAGGACCGTCTATTTGGCATGTGGCCCAGACCCCGTCAAGTTAGCCCCGCCTGAACCTAGGAAAAGCCAGAAAAACCGAGCCAAACCGAGCTTCGAGCTTGGATCCAGGTTGGTTTGACGAAGCTCGATCCAAGCCTGACCCGAGTTCCATAGTGCTTGCTAAAGAAACGTCGCTCTAGGGTCAGACTATTATTGCTCTTACTCATCATAATACTATTAAATATTATTTTTAAAGATTATATTTAATAAATATGCATGTAGATATGGTATAAGTACTTCTCAGCCTATAGGTTCTACATGCTCTGAACAGGGCAAAGGTAAGTTTTTTGATAGGCAAATGATGATAGAGAGGCTAACGAGTATGGGTTGTAGCCATGGATCAGGATCATAAACAAGGAAAATTACTAAAATTGAATAATATTTAGCTGCACCTTTAGTTAAACCTCAAAATAATGTTAATTTTGATATTTTACAACAGTGGAGAGTATACAGAACAGTTTTATATTATGTGCTTTCCATCATGGATCGTGACTTACTAACAGTACAGGTTTCTACCATAGCTTCAGAATCTGCCTTCAACACATCAGGACGTTTGATCAATGATCACAAAATATCGTTGGATCCATCTATTATACATGTGGTAATGTGCTTACAAGATTGGTAGAGTACGAGAAGAGAACTTAAGGCATCAACCAAATAGCTAATATTGAAGATAGACGTAATGAGTTGACGATAAGAGATAAAAAGTAGAAAGTTATTTGTAATTTTTATTTTTTTAACTATAAATCTATGGTAAAATATTTTGTAAAGAGTTACAAATGATACTCTATAGATGAGGTACCAACCTAGTTGTGATGTACTCGTGTATTGTGATGAGACTATTTCTAAAAAAAATTATAATTGTTAGTGATTAATAATTAAAATTTTTATTTTTTATTATTTTAATTTCTATAAACTTTACAAGTTGTATAATATAAGTGATTAATGATAAGATAGAATTTCTATCAAAATTTCTCATATTTTAATTACTCCTAAAATTCCATAACTTTTTGCAGAAAATCTAATTTTTTAAAAAATAAAAATAAAAATAAAGATAATCTAGGTCGTCTCCGTTTGGCCCAAACCCGGACCCTAGTCCAAGTCCGAGCAAGGCATTTTGCCTGGCCTAGTCTTAGAAACCAAGGTTGGGCCGAGCCGAGCTAGCCCATTGGACAGGTCTAATTACAGGCACACAATCATATTCTTATAGTTGGGCATATCTAGGGATGTACTTTTTTTATCTCGTCTTAAAGACTTGATTTTATCCAGAGTCAAACGCTCTTACTGTCCTAGCAGTAAACAACAACTTCTAGGTATACTTAGAGATAGACTTGAATACTAAGTATCAATCTATCATCAGGTGTGCAATTCACTTAATAGCTCGTTGTTACCACATTGAACGTACTTTATAGGATCTCCACTCATACAGGTTGTGCTGCCAATGTATATGAATTAAGTAAGAGTTTCAGTCTCATCCCCAACCTGAATTTAAGAACAAGTGATAACTCAAGTCCTTTTGTAAAGGGCTCATCTATGTTGCCCTTGGACTTGACAAAGTCCATAGCTATCACTCCTTCATCTATAAACTTTTTATGGTCTTTATCTACAATTGGATATAACCTCGAGTATTGCGGTTGTACTTTGAACTCTTAATCATTGTAATTATGGTCATATTGTCACAAATGTCAATAGATTGTAGGAATAGGCTTGCTAATCATGGACAACTCAAACATAAGTCTCCTAAGCATCTTCTAAATCAATAGTATCCAAAGCACATAGCTCATCCTCAAAAATAGACCGAGACAAAAATGGCCTATTTGATAGGCTTCCAGGCAACATCGTTGCCACCCAAGGTAAATGCATACCATGTACAACTATTGCTACCAAAACCCATAGCAATTCAAGCTTGCATCACTGTACCCCTCCATAATATGAGGGAATCTACCATAAGGTAGTGTAAGGGAAACACTTCCCTTCAAACACTGAAATATCCTATCCAATGCCTCCTAATGAGTCATATTTGGACAGCTAGTGTATCTACTTGATTTAGAAACTGAGTATGAAATATAAGATCTCGTGCAATTTGTAAGATACATCAAGCTTCTAATGATTAGAGAATATCTCAATTGAGATACAAATACCGCAGTTGCATTCTTGTAGAGTGTTACTGAGGATTATACAGAGTTTTAATGGGTCAACAATTTTTATAGTCAAATTTCTCAATAATCTTATCAATGCGATGAGATTGAGAAATTGCTATGCCCTCAACTTATCTAATCAGTTTAAGGTCAAGAATCACATTAGCAACTCTTATATCCTTCGTATCAAACTTACTACTCAATAATAACTTGGTCTCATTGATTATCGCAATGTTAGACCCAAATAATAAAATATCATCAACATAAATGCACAGAAGAATACACGAATCACCTCTTACTTATCAGACTTAACCACATTGAAACCAAAAGCAATGATAGTAGCATCAAACCTTTTATGTCATTGTTTAGGAGCTTATTTAAGTCAGTTAGAGACTTCACAAGTTAACATACTTTGCTTTTATTATTGGGTGTTAGAAATCCCTCAGGATGATTGATATAAATCTTTTCTGCGAGAAAATTATAAAGAAAAACAGTTTTTACATCCATCTAGTGGATAGCGAAATCATTT